TTCTAAAAACATGCACTTTAGCTTTAGCAGTTCAGGAATTTTCTTTTTAATGGAGAGAACAGTTAAGCTTCTCTAAAAAGACAGAACATTACCTTCCAGACCAAAGGTCATCTGATTTTTAAAGTTAAAAAAAGAATAATTCAGAATTGCCTACCAAAATTTCAGACTTTTTTTATTTTATTTGTTCCCAAATAACTTGCTTATTAACTGGGATGTAATTTATACAAAGCTCTAGTTTTGACATGTTTATAGTATTCTCCCAGTTCTTTCATTTGTTAAATCAATGTTTTAATAGCAGTATCAAGAAATCTGTATGCAGCAAGTATCAGCCACATCTGAGGCAATTTAAATTGGCTGTCTATTCATTTATATCAATAGCTGTAGTGGGAATAACAAGATTTCAAGTATCAACTGCTTTGCAGAAATGAAGAAGAGATCATTCACTGTCTCCTTTCAAAATTCTATTGGGTTTTCATTTTTCAAAAAGGATTTCAAAAAAATGCAAATGTGAAGAAAACATAATTTCAATATTTGGAGACTTGGAAATTAGATTATTATATTCTTTAGTAGTAAAACTAAAACTCAGCCTCATTTTGCTAGTTGTTTTTTTTTTAAAGAAACTACCTGGATGCTAAGTGTCTACAGTAAATAAGAAACAAACAATCTAATATTGAACAATTGCTAATTGATACAAGGACCTTTTCTCAGGCAATATAACTGATAAAGATAACACTAACTTGTCTCTTGAAAAACCATGTAACAGAAAATTTCTACAAAAAGAATAACGAACTGTGAATGTAAGTTTATTTCATTCAGAGAGATTACAAAAATGATAATTCATCTCATCCATGCAAATCCCAAGAACCTTATTAATACAATTATATCTGCACAGTTAATCACACAGAACTAAAAAGGGATGTATAAAGTTTGAAAACTCAACCATGCCTTTTTAGAAAGTCCATTGTTACATGATCATTAATATATGTGTAAAGAACTTTACCATAGTAGTAAAATACTGTAAATAAAACCTAGTTGAATATTTTTTTTGTGGTAGATGTCAGCAAATTTAGTTACACCTTGTATATTTTATAGCACCTTCATTGGAAAACTCAAAAACATTTTATAAAGCTGTTGTCAACCTCACAACATCCCTGTGAGGTAGGGAAGTATTGTTTTTGCAGTTTAGAAAACAAACAATTAAATTTCCTCTAATTTCCAATGCTGTATTTGGTACAGACAATGCTTCCTCCTTTGCAATGGTTTCAAACTTCTTCATATTCTTGGATTTGTCACTTGACAAGTTGCATTTTTGTAAAAATCAGTAATTTCAGTGAAATCCATTTTAATTTCCATTCTGGTGGAACAAATGTTAGAAATGTTCATTTTTGCATTTTAATAACAGCTTTTTATCTTTGATAATCAAGTACATCAGCGTATTTATGGCCAGATAATTTGAAGTTTTGCCCTTTTTTATTTTGCTTCTAAAAAGAAGAGGCATTTTATGCATCCAAGAGAATAAATGTGACAAGATTTTTAGTCTATCCTATCCCACTACAAATTGAACAGGTCTTCAATCTTTAATGTATTATTCATTTTTCAAAATATATCAAAGATGCTCACTACAATAGTCTCATTTATGCTTCACCTTTCTATTTGTAGGAAGCTAGGACAAGAATATTAAAAATGCACTGCATAATACCTAGTGTCTAAAGTGGTATAATCCAGAATTTTACCATTTTTGTGCAGATCATTTTTTATACACGAGTTGTATTTTTTCAAGCAAGCTATTATTCCAAAACATATTCTTATCTTTTGCTCCACAGAACCTTCTCACCATCTTTTTATTCCTACCTCCTTGCATGTCAGAAACTATTTAGTATTTTAATCTTTCTAGAACTTTAATCCTGTATGAGCAAATGAATCGATATATGGTAATATTAATTTCTGGGAATATTTATGGTTAAGAGTGATTTCCAGAATATAATAGTTTTGAAACATGAGTGGGGAAACTCCCTGGGCAGTTGACCTTATTGCACTTAAACATTTATATCTTCCTGGAGCCAAGTGATCCTCTTGATTTAGTAAGTGATGAAATTAACGCAATATGAAGTAACTCTTAGAATGGGTCAAAATATTTACATAGAGTGAAACCCATCTGATTTCTTAACTGCAATAGTAATAATACAGGCAACCAAGTTCTTTTTGCTTCCACCCAGAAACTGATACATTATGCAGCTAGTCCACCATGCTATTAGAGTTCTTTATAATTGATGACTTCTGTCCCAGCTTCTACTTTATAATTGGGACATGCTAGGGATATAATTCTGGGTTCCTTTCAGATTGTAGATTTTAAAGAAGTGGACAAGAGGTGCAGAATGATAACGGCTATCACCTGATGAGGCAATTTCTGGTTTTCTGGGCTGCTTTAAATGGCCAGGACAAGCCATGCTAGCAGAAATAATCATCTCCCTATATTCCCCTATTCCAGAGAAGGCAGTTAAGGTCAGTGGCATTTAAATTAATAAGATGATTTTGTGAATATATTTCAATTGGGCTTTTGACCAAGATAAGGTAATGAAACAACCTTGTGAATTGCCTGAGGATTGAGGTTTGGTATTGCTTTACAGAGCTTCCAGTTTTCTTGTCAAATTATGTCCAGATGGCAGTACTGATTTGTGTTCCCATTAACCTGCCTTGAATCCGATTTTGTATCCCTATTCTATATGAATTTGATAGGAGAGTGTTTTCAAGAATTCTGATGTCAGGTATCATTGCTAGGCTGATGTTACTCAGTTCTACACTCACCATCCAATTCTAAATGTTACCTATGTTTGATAATGGATAAATGTTACTGTTGGTTAAAATGAGGACTTGGATATTGGGATTGAATTATATGTGATTTTTATAAGGTTGCAGTCCCAGTGAAAATGTGTAGTTAATAAGTGCTGCTTTGATCCTTAAATCCCATTGAATTTGCAGATGTTGAGGAATCTTTGCACAATTTTATTATTACACCTGCATTTCTTCCAGGATTAGATTTTTACAAGTTGTACGTGCATTGGTTACATCGTATTGTGACTATTGCAACACACTGTGGCTACCCTTGAAGTGTCCAAACATTTCAGTTAGTGCAAAATCCAGCAGGCAGATTGCCAAATTATGGAAGGTGCAAAGTTCATATGGTGCTGATACTATCTGCACTGGTTGCCAATTGCATTCCAAGCATAATTTAAAGGGTTGCTATTCTTAAAGTCCCAAATGGCTTAGGGTCTCTGCTGTTCTCATTATAAATTCATCTGGTTGTTAAGATTGGGAGATACTCTCCTCCCCCTCCTTGCATCACTTTTAAACATATTACACTCCCAGAGATGTAGCTAGCCTTTGGTTATGAGAAAAGGCTTTTTCTTGCGTTGCTCCTGAATGTTGGTATGCACACTTCATCACATTCTTCATTGTTAATCTTTTCTTGCTAATTTTATTTCACATTGTTTTTTCTTTTTTTAAGCAAAATTTTGTTAAGATACTTGGAATGCCCAATACAACTAAAGAGCAGCATACTCAAATAAATAAATAAATAAATAGCATTTACTATAAATTTATTTCTTTTGGAGAAGTGGACATAGGATAAGTCTATTTAAAGCTGTTTATTTTGCAGGTCAATTATTGCCCTATTTTGTCTAAAATCTTTTGAAAGCAGGCAGTTGTCTCTATAGTTGATTTGGCTTTAGACAATTTAGCCAAAAACAATTGGATTACTTGAAACTTAAGTTTCTGTAATTTCAGCATGTCATGCTGTTAAAATATGAATATTCACTGAGTAATTTCAGTCCTCTGTATAAAGCATGTTTCCTATGAAATATTGAAATGAGCATATAGAATACATGCTCTATATAGTGTTTTTATTGTATACCACAATTGAAAATAGTGTTAAGGTCACTGCCTATTCATTGTCAACACATTGGATTTGAATTCCAATATATAACTGACTATACAGTCAAAGACTTCAAGTTCTTGACATGACAATTGTGCTGACTGGATCTATGTAGCTTGAACTTTGTACCTCTTCATCCCTATTCAACTTTGACTGCCAACATTCAGAAACAGGTACACCAGCTAAATAGCATGGTATAGTTATGTGTATCTACTAGATCAGGGGTGTCAAACTGGCAGCGTGTGGGCCAGATGCATCACGCACAGGCCAAAAAATCACGTGACACGATTGAGTTTGACTAGATCACGGGTGCCAAATTTGCCATGTGACATGTCGAGATGTATCACAACTTTTTGCATTGCTGGCAATGGTATGGGTGCAGCTTTGGTATGATGAAACCAGCCCATGGGCCGGTAGTTTGACACCCCTGGACTAGATGGATGTAGGCATTGATATTAAAGCCACATCTGCATATGGCTTGAATTATAAGTATACATCTTAGGATCTGTATAGAAGCCTCAGAAAATGTTCTTGGGAAGTCTAATACTTTTACCAAATGAATAGTTACTCCCAATTTACTGTTTTTATCAATACAAAATACATAGATATATAAAATGCTCTGGTTAGAGCAGAAAAAAAGCTGCTCAAATAAAAGTTTTATTATCCTATATTCTGTGCTATAGTGTATTATTAAAATATTGTTCATGTAAATACACTTTATCTGCCCCTTAGATTTTTTGAAGTGTACTGTTAAGAGCTTGCTAAATTATAGTTGATATTTTTGACTAGGAACATGGACACTGCTTTCATTTAAAAAGCATCAATCACTCTTATGCAGCAAAGTAGTTACATGGTTTTCCAGAGGTATTCATAGAATAGGCAGTGAACCTAAATACAAATTCAGAATGAATTTTAGGCTAACTATGATTTTATAAGTACCGTGAATTAAATATTCTGAACTTCAAAGACAGACCGCTAAAAACTGGGACTGTTTTTTTCAAGCTAACATTTATTTTAATCAGCTCAGAACTAGATGTCTGGACTAAAAGAATACTCATTTGCATTCAGATCACCTCAGTTTGTTTCTTTATAGTTATTTTTGCCCACGGATCACAAAGCAGTTGTGTAACAGAAGTTTATATTCGCATATATGACATTTGTTAGGATAGATAAAATGCAGAACTTCAGAGTGCATAAAGTCAAACCATCCACATGTGTATGAGCTCCTCCCAAAATTAAGAATCTCAAGGAACAATTTATAATATAAAATATGCACTTTGTTTACTAGAGCTCCACTTTCTTTTGAAAGATTTGACTAATTCAATGGTGTAATATTTCAATGAAAGCATATTCACTAATAACAAGTATCTGGGGATGTAAAAGTTTTAGCTTCACTACAAAAAGCTGTCAACTTTAGCAGTATTGTTTCCTTTTAACTACTTTTTTTTGCCACTTGATATTAGTGGTGTTGCTAGCAGTGACACAGTGAGGTAGATGATGACCACACATTTCAAGTTACTTACGGGCCACCAATACTTTGCAACAGCCAATTCAATGCATATCTATGAATGAACTCAGAAGAACTTTTTTCTTGTAACATGCATAAGACTGCAGCTTTAAGTTCCAACACCATGATCATGTATTTGCCACACTGAAGTGATGCACGGCATCAGAACATGTATATATAATCATTAGACTGCAGAGGTCATGAACATTTCTATATTTATTAATGTTACAATATTAACTTGCTATACCAACTATGCCCAAGAACTCAAGTGAATACAAAGGACAGCTTTGATCTACCCTATCATACAGTATATTAAAACTTGATTCATGTGTAACAATTTTAATAAATGTCAAAGCTGGAATTTAAAATTGTACGTTTCACATAATCTTAGTTCTTCAGCTTTAATACCCTGCAAAGGCTTTGTTGGCAAATAGACAACTTTCAGGAAAGATACGCAACTCAACGATGTCAGCTGTTTTACTTCCAGTGATCTAAGCATGTAGAGGACTGGTTCTGCATCTGTATAAAACACAACTACTTAGAAGAATATATCTCACAATTCTTAATAGGAATAAAATATTATTCTAAGCAGTCTGTTCTTCATTTAAAGCAATGATTTCATATTCTAAACACTCCTTAATTGCAAAGTCATCTTTTTATAAAGTACATAGCTACTTCATAAGTAATACATTTGTCTAAATGCTGGCTTGAGAGTCCAGAAAACAGCCAGGCATTTGGAAAGACATATCAGGAGTGGCCACATTAGATTCAGATTGGAAGAACAAAGTAAAAAAAAATTAACCCAGGGAGCAAGAACCTCTTTGGGAGCTGGTTTGAATTCTACTCACTGTCAATGTTATATAGCAAAATATAGCATAAATTAGTATTCAAATACTGTTAATATGTATCCAAATAAATGAGTACATAGCTGGCCAGGGAACAGTTTTAACTGAAGTTGCCATTACTCTTTGGGCAGCAGGAGGAAAAAAATGCCATAAATGCAACATCTTATTCTCAAAATATATCCAAATTTTAAACAGTAAATAAGTACAATGGACATTTTTCACTATACATATAAGTATCTCCATCCTGCAAATATAATGGTATGCGTGAGCAATAGCTGATATTTCCTAATATTGCTAAGGCTAAATATTTAGCGTCAACTTCTCAGAAATATGTCCCAGATATTATAGGAGCAAACATTTATTGACCATTTATCCAAAGAAAATCTAACTCTTTGATATCCAGTAAAGTATATATAGTTGCATATTCCATGCAACTACCTGGCTATATTGCAATTTGTCAAGCCTGGAGAGCTATTTCTCAAATGAAGAATTTATACAAATGAAACCAGTTAATATACAGACCAATGTCCATAAATTTTCTATCTGGATATGTACTTATTTTCTGATAACTAAAGAAAAACTCAACACTATGCTGCATTTTTTTTTTAAAAAAAATGTGTGCATTAGAGGTTCCTAGTAAATTATGGCTACATGTGAAAGGATATAATAAATGGGGCACGGAACAAACTGCTCATTTAAGGTCACTTAAATTATATTATATTATCAACTCAGATGGCTGATTTCTGCAGGATTTCTTAGAGGAATCCAGTAGAGCTGGTTTCGAGTTTCAGATGGCCACCAAAGAGTTGTAACCTTTTCCAGAAGTTGTGATCCACATGGTATCCACAATGAGTGCAGCAAGTCTGAGGTAGTCAACCTTTACGAAGGCTCAGTATCTGAACATAAAAAAATTTGAAATAACCACTGGCTGCAGAGGAATCAAAACACCGGGAACTCTTGTTCAACAATTTATATTAATTTCCCTCATAATATAAAGAAGGTGTACCAAATTAAGTATATTTTCAAAGTGCAGAAAAGCAATCACTTACGTCAAAGTAGTCTGCACTTGTTGTAGAAGATCCAGCAGAAACAAGACGGCATGTTCATAATTGGTGTGGTTTAGTTATCTTAAGAATGGAAGGGTATCAAATAACCATTCCTTAATTGTAATATGTGTGCAGCTTTACTGATCCCCAAGCACAGCATATTGGTTGTCTAGCTGAAGTTTAGTTGCCTGGGATTTTGAAACCTCATCCCTACCTCTATTTTTGTGTTTTACTACTTCAAAGCTCTTCTCCATTTCTTTATCCCTAAGGGAAAATAAATGTAATCAGTAACTGTCTTAGACACACTTGCCCTTTAGCAATACTAATCAATGACACTAATTTAGTTGCAAAATTCCATGACTAGGGTCCTAACAAAGGAGACGGTAATCCAAAGAACTATTGCAGGCATGGTAAGGGCTTGCATATGCCACTGATGACATTTCTCTGAACAAACCTCAATGCCATTTCATAAACTGATTTTGAAATGACAAACTCGGTTCTGTTATACAAGCATATAAATTCTGTTATACAAGCATATATATTTTCAAAACTTTTGATAGCATTAGTGAGGCAGTTCACTGGATTGCAGGCACAAAAATGTATCCCAACATCCCAAATAGATTAACACTGCAACATGTCAATAATTATGAATATGGTAATGTCCTAAATGCAACATTCAGAAACTATTCCAAAGCATAAGCTAAATGCATAACTATTTCTGCATGCTTGTTTTTTTTAATTGAACTTAAGTCGCATGAAAGCTTGGACCTGGAATACTTATTTATAAGCAGTCAGTTACAAGAAGACTGACATTCAAATAAAATCCATTAATTGTGTAGGGACTGTCTAAAAGTCATTCTTAACACAAATAATCCCAAATGCAGTAACAGATTATGAAACAAAATTGGCAAATGCCATCTTTGTATATATTATGGTACAAATACAGATATACTGTAATTTACTGCTTAAGTTTAATATTGATAAACCACCTATAATTAAAATTTGAACCATTTACTCAGTATCAATTAAAAAACTGAAGTTCTGCAATGGACCAAGTCCCATTGAAGGTAATTTGATATTAGGAAAGGGCCCAGATCAAATTATACAACAATCTCACATCCCACCTCTCTAAATAGCACTGCATAAATCGAGAAACTGGTTTTTAAAAATTTCAGTCTGAGCTTCTGCAGATAAAATCCATATCCTCCCTAGTTATGCTTAAAGCACACTTGCTTCCTCTAGTGCAGATCACATTGTATACTTGTTTATGATCTGTGGAAAAATTACAAAACTTTAGATTAGACTATGAAACTATGAAGACATTGCTAGGTTGGGAGAAGAATTATTTTAAGGAAATATTCTAGAATTGTATCACCATACTTACTTTCTAGTATCTACTTGCTTGGCAGTGGACTGCAATGATGGAAACTGTGTATCACTATAGATCTCTGGAGGACCTTGTGGCACTTTTCGTGTCCTGCCTTCTCTTGCACCAGGTGGCCTATATACTCCACTGGATTGCACTGGCTCTGGATTTTCTGTAAAGAATTTAAAAAACCCAAACAATCAGATATAATTAGATAAATGTTAAATGAAAATTTTCAATTTAATATTTAATACCGAATCGACACTCAATTCTTTGGCTGTACAAGTAAAGATTCCTCTGTATTCAGACAATCTATTACTTAAGCAAGCGTTAGAAATAAAATATTTCCAAATATATTCATTTTTTATTCAACAGGTTTTCATTTAGCTAAAAATGAGACAAAATGGCTGATTCAGTAAACATTGGTAAATTAAAAGGAACATAGAGCAAAGCTCACCAATAATTTCAGCAACAGGTATTTGTGTAGGAGCAGATCTATTCCAAGGACCAGATGATTTCTCCAAACTTCCACCTGGTTCCTCACTATTATCCCTTGGTTCTTCTTTTTTCTCACTTTCTTCTTCATCTCTTTCACTGACAAAAAAAAAAAAGGTGTTGCAGCATTCATCACTTATGTAAACACATTCATACTATAATGTGCAAACTGAGCATACAGTAGTGCTGAAAGTATGTTATTTAAAACAAAAGGGAACATCTCCAATCTCGTGTTCTGAAGACTAATACCAACAATTAGAACACAATCATGTCACTAATCTATAGGCTCCTAACTAATAAAGAGGATGCAAAATGTTTAGGCATGAAAAAAACTTGTTTTTAATAATCACCAACTAAGATTAAATGCTGAACAGTATTTTCTCCATCAAGCACAGAAATATTAAAGCATTTAAGAACAGCAAGCATTGATGTTTTGAAGCAATACTAGCCACTGTGTGGCAAGCTTAGAGATAAGACCTGATTAAGTTTTTCTTCACCTAGAACTTGCAAGTAGTAACTGAATCATTCATGTAGAACTATAGTTTTCAATATATACCTATATACTTTCAAGACAATAATACCTAATTTGCATGGACTGAACTCTGAGGCCACTGTAGTCAATTATTTCTTCCTGCTCAAATTCTTTCCAGTCATCCTCTTCCTGCAAGATGAAGATTACATAGGCTCATTATTAGTTCTTAATGAAGGGCAATCAGCACTGGCAGCTATAGAATGACTGTCACAGAAAAAAAAATAGTAGTCATCCTCCTAGGATTTAAATATTCCCAACTCTTCTGTTATATCAGAAGCTAAACAGTGCCTACTTTATAACTAGATAGACCATTTCCACTACTCAACATTCCATACATATCCCATAACACAACTAAATTATTTTCATGATACTAAGTAAATGTTAATTTTTTTCTTTCAAACTACATACTATATAGAAATCTTAGTATTGTTTAATACAGTAAAATTCTAGTATTATGCAAACTGGTTCTAACCGATTCCAATTTTAAAATTAAAACTTAAAATTTAATACTTTCAAGATAGTAAAACTTCTCTATAGTATGAAAGATGGCATATCGTGTAGGTTTTCTGGTATTAGTCATATGTCCCCACTTTCACACACTCTGGAGTTATAGAAGTTAGCTTTGATCTGACTAGTTCAGAGTTTGATTCAAAAAAGAGTAGTGAAATCAAAACTCCTCAATATCTTAGAGCAAGCTTAAAGAGGGATGAAAAGGAAGAGAGAGAATTGGCTATATTTTAGTTTAGTCTCAAGTTACTATCCATCTTTGAAGTTACTACAAAATCATTATTTTTCACCAACATGCTATGAGCATTGTCAATTCATACATCTGAGAAAACATAGAAGAAACTACCAGTATTTGCAAGTTAAAAACTATTTTGTTGCATGAAAATGACATATACATTTGGTCAACAATCTATTATGATGGTAAGATGGAACGGATTTTCATTTACCATTAACTGCTGTAGGCCGTATTCATCCACTTATTTGCCAAGCTCCCTTCCTCTCCAAGAGTCAGCAGGGAATCAGGCTACTCTAAATCTTGCTGTTCTACAGTTAAAATTCCCAGACTCTATATTTATATATATTGTTTTGCTTTTCATTGTTTGGCTTTTTGGTTATTGAACGCTTTAATATTCCTTATAACTTGCCAGCACAACTCAAGATGGGAAAGAGCTACAAAGGAATAGATGGTACACCAGTTATTTAGTGACTAGCAACATAGCAGCAAAATGAACTGACAGTGTCAAAGCCCGTAGAGGGGCTGATGTTTCTTGATGGCAGCAATGTTTGGACGAGTGAATTTGCTGAGTTTGCTGGCAGATTTGCCAAGATTGTTTGTCCATAGCTTATACCCAGTTCGGGTGTTTAACCACTAGTTGATATCAAAGAGATAGAATGTTTTGTTAACTCTTGGCTGCCACTTGTTGCTGGTCTAGTTCTATGAAACCAATGCACACCTGCTGAATAAGTTTTGCTGGAGAATAAAATTTTTGTCAAAAGATTTGAGGAGCCAGATCTTCCTTGGCAGCAATAGCCATTTCAAAGAGAATACAGACTACCAAATACAAAAGCTAAGTACAATTACAAATGGCTACAATACCCCCAATTTGCTCTTAATTGCTATCCAAGCTGACTTAACCAGAATTGTGGTGTCTTGTCTACTCTTGTTCTAAGTGGTTTTTTTTTTGTTTGTTTGTTTTGTTCTTTTTGAGGGGGACAGGCAGGCAGGCAGTTACACCAATTCTGAAACTTAGCATCTTGTCATATATGGACAGTTTCATTGTCTCCTCCTCTTGAAGTCATCAAAAGTCTTGCTTCCTCCATAATTTATTGGGGGAGGAGGGGTGAACAAAAATTAGTATACTGTTTTAGTCCACAGCGCCATTAATCTTGAAAACTAGGGGTGTATACAAACAGAATGCTAGACGAGATAAATTTTGGTCTGCTCCAGACTTTTACATTCTTCGATAGCTGTTTTTGGAGGGAGGCAATAAAATCGTAATAACCGTGTACCATTCTTATACTTTATACTTGGAAGTGAGTGCCCAGGTCTTATCTTGCCTCAACAGCAAGATACTCCTGTTGCTCAAAGCGGCAACTGATAAAATCGTTCCTGTGCTCTCACGCCTAGAACAGCAAGATGCGGGTTCAAACAGAGAAGTCGTGAGTGCCAAGTGGGAAATTTGGGACAAACCTGGATAAGAAAGACTGAGCAATTCTCCTGTTTGATCCCCAAAGTCATCCCGCGTACCAGTCTATTTCCTAACAAAATGGATTCCCGTTGCCCCTAGCCTCGGTCTCGGCCCTATGAGCGAAGAAAGCTAAGAAACTGCCTTCCACGCGCCCCAGAGGAAACCCAAGATGGCCTAGCTGGGATGAAGCGACGCCCTCTACCGAAAGGAAGCTACCAACGCCCACAGGAAGTAGTCAGGATAAAGTTTCCTCCTCCTCCCCCCCAATCCTCTTCCACCCTAGTTCCTGGCCAACTCGAGCCCATAATTCTCCCAGTTCTCCCTGGTCGGTCTTACCTTGTTTGCTGCCTTAGCAGCGCCGGTGGCCGCGTTAGCATTAGAGGCGGCTCCATGGGCGCCTTCTGCTTGCCGACTTCCCCCAGTCACACCCGCGGCAGTGGCATTGGAAGAGGCAGTCGTGGAAGGCGCGGCAGTGGCACTTCCCCGGCTACTTTTCTCTTTTCGTTTCTTTTTGTCTCGTTTCGCGAAAAAGTCGTCTAAGCTCCTCTCCTCGGTTTCAGCCATGGCGGTGGCGGCGGTAGCTCCTCGCACTCCGGTTCAAACCGGTTATGACTGACAGACTGACCAGTCGCCTCTGCCTAAGGACAGTTGCGGGGAGAAGAGAAAGGGCGGCGAGAACTCGGCGCCACCCAGCAGCCTCGCGTGCTCCTTACGTTCGCCTGGTCCCCGCCGCTCCCGTTCTCTCGTGGGAAGCAGAAGGTCGGAGCTTAAACTGCCGCCGCACGCGCAGGCTCTGGCCTCAACGTAATTCGTTCGAAGAGGAACAGAACGGCTTCCGCTCTCCACGTTGGTGGCCACCACTTGTCACAGCCGAAAGAGGACGCTGGGAAGAAGAGAGGGAGGGGCGCCGTCAAGAGCAGAGCTTTCCTAACGTAGTACGCAAAGAGCCACTTTATTGGGCATCGGAGCGGGAAGGCGGGAGAACGCATGCATTTGTCCTTCCGCCGACCAACCCGCTGAAAGAAACGAAGAGTCTTGGAGCCAATCAAAAGGTGCGGGGAGGAACCGACGTACGTCTAGCAAAGTAAGTGCCGGCAGCAGTGAACGTTAGGAATTCCTGCGGGTGAATTATTTAGCGCGCATGCGTAGGGGCAGTAGAATTTTTGAGCAATGATTCGTTCGCGTAAAATAGGCGGAGCTTAGTAGGGGCATGCGCTATGAGGCGGGAAAGGAGTCTGCGCAATTTGACTTTACTTTTATTACTTCTAGTGACTTTTCCAAAGCGTGGACGAAGGTAGACGGCAAAGGTCACGGAAATCTGACTTATGACATCAGAGGGTTCTCCTTTTAATTATCTCCTTGACTTAAGTTTGGAGCCGCCTGTAGTCAGAGAATAAGCTTTCTAATTGCCTTTTCTCATGCTTTTTGTATCCCACAGGAAAGTTCCCTTCAGAATTACCAGCAAAATGAATTTAAAGAGCTTAGCTCCAAATCATTAGCAGTTTTAAGGTCTTATTACAATGCACAGTACTAAAGCTACAACACTGAATCCTGCCATGATGTATTGTAGAAGCACAGCTTAGTTCCAAATATTGATTAAAATATACTATGTTAAATGCAACTTAAGTTACTTAGAATATTGTGTGTGTGTAAGGATCTCAAGTTATGTTGATTTAAAAACTTCTTTATTACCTAAAGTAATATTGTGAAATTGAGGTTACACCATGTATTTTAAGTAAGATTTGGGTGCTAATCATGAAATGTACAGTATTTGTAAAAATTTTACTTACCATTATAGAAGTCAATTTATTCTTTTGACCATCACAATCACAAAAGGAAAACAAGAGGGAAATAAGGAGTTGAACCATGAAATTCTATCTGTAAATGGACCTATTTAGTTTTATAACATTACAGATCTCTTTGCTTGGAATGATAAAAGTATATCAGATTGACACATGATCAGAAACGATAACATCCCTCCCAACTCACCCGTGTTAGGATTTGAAGTCCCTGGTTCCTGGAAGAACTCTTATTTCACGTGCTCTTTTCTAGATATTGGCCAACATTTTTTAACTGTTGCTCCAGGGAATTCTTTCTTAGTTCAAATGAATTGAAATTAAATACATTTCTAACACAATGATGTATTTTTTAAAGAGTTATGCAGAATATACTTTTCTTTAAATGGAACATTCTGGAATTCTCCAGATTATTCTCATTGAATACATTTTGCATATCATTACTTTTGAAACTTCACAGCTTCTGTGGATGGAAGAATACTGAATTGGATTGGGATCATGAAAGGGGAAGTAAACATTAATCTCTGCATTATCTGAAAACTCACTCCTCTGCAAAATTACTTACTCCACAGGAGAAAATCTCTAGGATATACTGGATCCCTGCTACTAATTACAATAAAAATCACAATAATATATATGTATGAAATTTAAGTTAGAAAATTGCAGTGGACACAGAGGTAAAACCATTTTCAGTATTGAGGTATGATTCAGTATGCTCCCTCAAACAGTCTTTAATTTAAAAAAATAATGTTTTTGGCTGAGGATAGTCTAAAATACTCACTTGCTAGTAGTTTAGGGCTATGTTGAGATCATTATTCAAGACTAAACAGAAAAGGTAGCCTAGAAAATATTCACATTCTTGGAGAGTGCAGTCAATAACAAATAGACAAACTCCAAAGAAACTTACAAGGTTAGCTTAAAATATTTCTAGTGCATAGTGCACAAAGCTTGTTCTACAAAAATACAATTTAGATTATGCTGTTCTGCCAGTCTGATTCTTCAATTGTTCCTTTAATTAAAACATAAGTAAATCCCATTATGATCACTGGAATACAATTGCCAAGTTACATATATAAAATTGTAGAATTATTTTAGTTGCTCAGTATTTTTTAAAAAAATGGACAGCAGTACTTGAGCCTAATATTTTATTCAATTATACTTTTTATGCAAAGCAGTCATTCAGGGCATTTAATATAATAGGCAAGTTGGCCTGCTTAGATTAGCAAATCAAAGAAATTTTATTGTCAGGTTTTCCTTGAACACTTGCCAATAAGATACTTTCCTTTGAATGGTAATAATTGTCTTCTGACGAGTAAGAGATCAGCTGAAAGTTAAATGCAAAAAATGCCATGTTATTATTTCCTAAAAGATAACAAATTGTTAACAACTTATTAACAAAGCAAAATTATTGATTAATGTTAGCAAGAGAAAATAAGAAAATTACAGTATTTGGATTTGTATCAAGAGTTAGCAAACTTTTTAGGTATGCAGTACCATTATTATTCAATGACATTGATGCCATTTTAAAAAAAAATAAAACAATTTTTATTCTTGTAAGATTTTAAGGGTCTCATTCAAGATTTATGTACAATAAACTCGCATGCAGATACTTTAAGAGTTCTCTTAAATCTCATACATTTTCCACTATGAGAAAGATTTCGCTCTCAGAAATTTCACAAAATCTTACTCAGGACTGTTGGAAATTTACCAGATGTGGCTATCTCAGAAGGTATCATTCAATAAAAACTAATTTTGAAAATCCACTGAGATAATCAGGGGTCCCTTAGGAGCCATATGCCCTTATATTTATGTAAATGATTAGTAAGAACTATGTCATAAAGAAGGATAGTCACCTAATCTGAGACAATGAAGAATACTTTTATCATAGGTTTAAGGGCTGAATAAATGTTAGAATACAAATAAAGTTACTAAATTAGACTTGATGCTTTTTATTTACAAAGTAGGTAATTGCAAATGCAACATACTACTAATTTATTAAAATATTATAATTTTCTAATGTTAGTTTTAATGTTAAAGGCCAGATTAGTGAAAGATTTTCTTAACTATAGTTATTACACAGGGAAGCGCAATTAGATGTTCAGTAATATATACCATATATCTGGTGCTTTCTAAATTTATTGGGAACACTAATCAGGATTGATTGGCATTGTGGTTTGATAATTGGCAGCTGCCTGCTATTTTTTGCTTTGATAAAGAAAGTACTACTGTACTGTAGGCTTGACTTTGAACAAACTGAACCATTTGCTGACAATGTTTGCAATCTAGAGAGACATTAAGTTGGAGAAAGCTAATATATGAATAAAATGTGTGAATAACTGCATTCCTATTTGGTAAATAGTATTTGGAATAGGTTCTTAATTATTAATAAACTGCTTGGATTTTATTATGCAGAAATCCAATTATTGGAGCAAAGAACCAAAATGGCACTAGCTACACATAATGATCTCAGTGGAAGCTCAAAAATATTAACAAGAGAATATGGATTACAATAAGTGCAGAAAATGCAGAGTGACTGTGGGGGAGAGGTTTATTTTAAGATCCCATCTGCTGCAGGGAATGACTTAGTTTTGAACGATGTTTCATCCCTCCCATAGAATAGGTGCTGGTAGAAGAAGCATATTGGCAAACCAGGAATTTTACCATTTTGTATTAATGTAAACCACAACTAGGAATATTCAGCTTTTTTTTTTCTTTTCTTTTTTTTCAGCTTACTCTGATTTTTCCCTCTTTCCTTGGGCCCAGAGATGCTGCTATGTAAATTCAACACACAATTCTCACTCATAACAAAATAATTCACTCATGAAAAAGAATTACCTGCTTTCCTTCTCTAGAAGGCAGTGATATGCAGCAATGTCTGATTCGAGTTGTGTTTTAATGGACAATAGAGTTTCATGATTTCTTTGCTGGTGCTCAGTTTCTCCTTGGATTTCTCTTACTTCTGCTTCCAGTTTGGCAATGACAGAGCCTAAATTCTGAAGCTCTATGTCATGCCAGTGCTTGGCATCATAAAGAGAGTTTTCTAAGCCTCTCTTCTGTAAAGACAAAATAACCATAGAATGTTGAACATTAAATTTCTTGAATTTCTGTCTTTAGAGATACAATTATTAAATCCATACATATTAGTTTTTCAAATAGAGAATCCTCCTCTCAGATACATATGAATTTCTAGAAGAAAAAGATACTAATACATTATTCCTACAACGTATCTGCTGTGCACAAATTAAAGAATTCCAGTCAAAAAGATTATTTGGCCATCAAAATAAATACTGATCAGGAGCATTTAAATAGTGCTAATATTGTGCTCTCAATATTTTGGTAAAAGGTCAAAAGTATTTTTCTGAATGATATCAGTATTATCTCTGTATTACCCACAATGCATTTCAAAATACTGTTGTTTCAAGTTAAAAGTAGATAATTTAGTAATGATAATAATTATTACTGTTTTATCAGAAAGTAGGTTTCAGTTAATAATTTGTAAAAACTCAGAAAGTTGTTTGATAGTAAACAGTTTAGAGCTGTTTATTAAGAATGCACTAGTCTAGAAGCTTGGAGGCATTTGATATTTTAAGAATATGTGGGAATTCAAAATAAAATGGTCATTCTAGGTGTGAGGGGATCCTGTTCATAAAATATCTTTTTATATCTTTAGTCAAGGGGCATTTTTCAGTTAATTTGAAAAATCCTCTGGAAGAGATCAGTTCAGATCTCTAATAAGACCTGTGTATTCTTTTCCTACACTGGCTGCTTAATAATGTAATATGTGATTTTTTTCCAGAAAGAGACGCCTGGTCCCTTACTTACCAGTGTTTTCAGTGATTCAGTCTCTACTTGCAGGCTTTGAATTTTGCAAGCTGTTTCATGAAACTCTGCCCTTAAGGATTCAGCTAACTCTGCATCTTGTGTTTGTACAGCAGGCAATGTTTCTGTGGATTGCTGACAAGATATAACAGTGATAAACAGAAAAACATTGCTTTATTTTCCAGTCTCTTCTACATAAATATATTAGAGAAAAATTAAAGGAAAATTATTGAGGTTTTAGATCCAGCTTTTTAATTATTAATATA